CACCCAAGATGGCGGCGGGCGGGGAGGGGCTTGCGGGCGGAAGTGGCGGCGCTCGGCTGACCCGTGTGCCATGGCGGCCGCGGCCACCTCCTCCGCGCTCAAGCGCCTAGATCTGCGCGACCCCGCGGCGCTTTTCGAGACGCACGGAACGGAGGAGATCCGCGAGCTGGAGCGCCAGGTCCGGGCCGAGATCGAGCACAAGAAAGAGGAGCTGCGGCAGATGGTCGGCGAGCGGTACCGCGACCTGATCGAGGCGGCCGACACCATCGGCCAGATGCGCCGCTGCGCCGAGGGGCTGCTGGACGCCGTGAGGGCCACCGACCAGTACTGCGCCCGCCTCCGCCAGACCGGCTCGGCCTCGCCCCGGCCACCGCGGGCCCCGCAGGTCAGTCCCCGGCCCGACCCTCCAGCCCCGACCCCACGATCCTCACCTTCCGTACGGAGGCGCCTGCCCCTCACCCTCTGGGCTCCCCTCCTCAGGGGACAGCGCCGGCCGGCCTTGCCCCGGCTGCTGATCCTTCTCGAAAAGTCATTCAGCTGTTTCTTCAGGAGTCTTCCTCGACTTCCGGGCCGTGATTCTCTCCCCTCACTCTTGGGTTCACCGAACGCTCTCTTCCAATTTTAACTGAAAACGGCAGGGGACTCTCTCTAGACCGTTCACCTCTTCCCTGTATAACATTTCTTGACATTGTTTTCATTAGAACGGATTTTCCCCTTATGTTGACACTGTCCCCCCAGATCATTCACTTCTCATCCCACCCTTCACCCCACCCCGCCCCCCAAGAATACCTTCCACAGTCCTAAATAGCTGTCCCACCCTTGGGAGTTGTTGGAGAGTAGTAGCAGCCGTCAGGCCCTTACCTTTTAATAGCTGAACATTTTCATTTTAGGGCACTGATGCTCTTCTAATTCAGTTATCCTGTGTTCTTGCCCTAACACTAATGCTTAGACCCCCTGTGGAAGGAGGGGGGCTGCACACACATCCTGATATTGGAGCAACATGTTGCCCTTCCTAAACATTGTTGACCTAGAGGTGGACAAAATGAAAGGGCATGGAGGTGAGAAAGGTAAACAGAGAATTTGTTCTTTGTCACCTGGGAGATGGAAGTTTGCATCTCCATGGGACTGAGCAAAGGCGCACACGTGTGTGGGAAAAACCAGTGGGATTTTACAGCACTCTCGACTCCAGTATCTCTCCTACACCAGACTTCCATGACTTGCTGAGTGGCACTGAGTCTGGCTTAATGAAAGCTTCGTATCCAGAAGTACCCTCAGTTTCTTCCCAAGCTTGCAGAACACTGACCTTGCTTTTGTTTGCTCTTCTGATTTAGTTCTGTGCCCTTCCCTGCAGCCACAGCAGCCATCCCAGGAGAAGTTCTACAGCATGGCTGCCCAGATCAAGCTGCTGTTAGAAATTCCTGAGAAGATCTGGAGCTCTATGGAAGCCTCTCAGTATCTCCATGCCACACAGCTCTACCTGCTTTGCTGCCACCTTCACAGCCTGCTCCAGTTGGATTCTTCTAGTTCCAGATACAGCCCTGTCCTCTCCCGATTTCCTATACTGATCCGGCAGGTGGCAGCAGCCAGCCACTTCCGGTAAGTGGATCTGGCATAAAACTTCACCGCTACAATTTTATAGTCTTCTTTCCTGATATGCCAAGGCTCTTCACCCGAGATGTTAAAAATTCCCTGTTGGCCTTTGTCATCATTCCTCTAGGTCGACTATTCTGCATGAAAGCAAGAAGTTGCTCAAATGCCAAGCTGTGTCTGACCAAGCTGTAGCCGAGGCCCTGTGCTCTATAATGCTCCTAGAAGAGAGTTCTCCTCGCCAAGCCCTCACAGACTTCCTGATGGCCAGAAAGGCAACTATTCAGAAACTTCTCAACCAGCCGCACCATGGTGGGTGTGGCTTCTCTCCAAAATTTGGTCCTTAGACATGGGATGGAGAAGGGTGGGCTGAGGGAAACTGAAGCATCTAGAGTATTCTCTGTTAATAACTTTACTAAAGGAAATGATTTAAAAGAGGATGGTTTCTCGTAGGTGCTGGTGTCAAGGCTCAGATTTGTTCATTAGTGGAATTGCTGGCCACCACTTTGAACCAAGCTTATGCCCTTTTCTACACTTTACCAGAAGGTCTGCTGCCAGATCCATCCCTGCCATGTGGCTTGCTCTTCTCTACTCTGGAGACCATCACAGGCCAGCATCCGACCGGTGAGCTCTTAGCTAAACTTTTTTTGCTGGTTCATTCAACTGACACTCAGACTCTACCATGTGCCAGCTACTGTTCTAGACTCTGGGGATAGAGCCGTGATTTGACAACTATGGATCCTTCCTTTGTGCAGGTCCCATCTAGTGGTAGAGCAGATATTGAACTGACAAACTTACATATATCCGTTTATTGTCAATATTGGTCATTTCTATGAAGGCAAAGTACAAGTTCACTTGGGGAAACTGGATGGAGGAAACTCACCAAGGTCAGAGAAGGCTTGCCTGGGGAAGTGACACTTAAACTGCAAGCTGAAGGTTGAGTAGGGGTTAGTCAGGTGAAGAAGGCAAAGAAGGGAGTTCCAGGCAAAGAGAAGAGGGTTGCAAAGGTCCTGAGGCAGGGAGAATGTGGGTGTATTTGAGGAACTGAAGAAAGCCAGTGAGATTGAGGATATTGGCTAGGAGGAGAGTAGCATGAGAAGACTGGAGTCATGGCCAAGGCCAGCTATTGTCAAGTCTTGTGGGCCTTTGGACTTGATCCAAACAGCAGTGGATAGCCTTCCGGAACTTCCAATGCATAGTGTGATCCCCCTGTTATGTGTTCCCATGCATCCTGCTCTTCTATTTGGTAGCATTTATCCCAAACTGGAAATAAATAGATGCAATTGACTTTTAGGTGGCCTTGGATCCCCATGGGGCTAGAGTGGATGCTGAGAGCTCACTTAGGAGGCTGTCACCATGATCCAGGGATCAAACGCTAGGGGCTTTGGTTAGGAGGGAGCTAATAGGATACTTGGACAACTGTTTAGACAATTTGGTGATGGACTGGCTGTACGGAGTGTGGGAAGGGAGATGTCCAAATTAACTAGAAAAGGAGCTGGTTTGAAGGGGCTGACAATGGATTCACTTTTGAAAATGTTGCATTGGAGGGCCAGCCCGTGGCTCACTCGGGAGAGTGCGGTGCTGATAACACCAAGGCCCCGGGTTCGGATCCCATATAGGGATGGCCGGTTCGCTCACTGGCTGGGCATGGTGCTGACAACACCAAGTCAAGGGTTAAGATCCCCTTACCGGTCATCTTTTTTTTTAAAAAAAAAAAGAAAGAAAATGTTGCATTGGAGACAATTGAGACCTTGCAATGGGACTATGGAGTGGGCAGGTGACTGGGCCCTGAACACAGCAGTGAGAGGTCTGGTTGGAGACACACACCTGTGGTACATCTTTATATGGCTGTCATTTGAAGCCATGGGAATGGATGACATCATCAGTATGAAAAGAAGAGGACAGAGAACAGTGCCTTACCAGAACTGCAGAGCTCTGAAGTCAGATGGAGGTGTCACCAAAATGGTCTGAGCAGATACAGTTAAAAATAGAAAGGAAACAAGTAGAATCTGGTTTTAGCCAAGTGATCATTTCCAGAGAGAGGTATATCACACAGTCTCACCTTTGGCTTGCTTTATCTTTCAGCACACGCGCCTCTCTGCCTTACCTTTGCTTTCCCTCTAGGTACTTTAATAGTGTGCTCCTTCCTCAGAAGGTGAGCACTGGCTAATCTGTCATGGCACTGCAAACTGAAGTACGAGGCACCTGGGAAGGGCCCCATGTTTCAAATTCCAGAGGGTGCCTTGTGCACAGAGTACGACGAACGGTGCCTCCCAGGGTTGCACCGCCGAGGCCTGTGCCCTTCTTGACAGGTGACTTTGAAGAGCAAGGAGTGACTCAGTAGACAGGCTGAGTGGTCATTGATTCTTTCCTTAGACCTTCAAGGGAGGTTGGAGGATGGTGAGGAAATGGAAACAGTAACTTCTACTTTTATGACAACTTAGTTCTACTTTTCAAATGTCAAGAATTGCACAGCACTCACTTCATCTTTCTGCTCTTTTACCCCATTCCTTCCCCCAACTCTGCTGTTCTTTTCAAGCAGTAGGATGGCCAGAGTTGTAGGGCAACTGCCAGATGAGGAAGGACCCATTTAACCTGCCCAAAGAAACACTAGATGGCTTTTGGAAATTCCTTCTAGTCGGTGTTTTAATATGTTATTCAAGGGATGGCCTAGGTTGCGTCTCACTTGGCCTTCTCTCTAGGAAAGGGTATCAGTGTCCTGCAAGGAGATATGAAGCTCTGCAGCTGGTTCAAACACCTGCCGGCTTCCATCGTCGAGTTCCAGCCAGTGCTTCGAACCCTCGCACATCCCATCAGCCCAGAATACCTGAAAGACACGCTGCAGAAATGGATCCACATGTAGGTGGCTAGAAAGAGCCTCCCTGCGGCTGGTAGGAACCACCCAAGCAGCCTATGTGTGGGCACACAAGAGTCAGTGAGGCCTGATCCCCAGGGTGACATGCCACTTGCCAGCCACTCAGTGCCCGTCACTGCCTGCATGGACACTGAGCACCTCCTGTGGGAGAACCACAAAGGAATTTGTCTTTCAGGATATTGCACAGAGGATTTTAAATTTTCTTTATGTGAGAGTTCTCCAACTTCTAAGCTTTTATTTAATGCATTGATTTTTTAAGCCATTCCAAAATGGCTTCAAAATAGGGTTCCAGACTTCCGTATACCCTCAGGGAAGCAAGGCGGGGGGAGGTCTGGGGAAAGGACTACAGACTGCATGCCCCAGTCCAGCCAGAAACAGTGTTGGTCTGTATCTGTAAATGCTCTGAGACCTATGTACGGGGACCCAGGTAAGAGGTTTCCAAATGGGGTCCAACTGTTTTTCTTTTTTGTTTTTGTCCTTTTTGTGACCGGCCGCACTGCGCTCAGCCAATGAGTGCATCGCACCGGCCATCCCTATATAGGATCCGAACCCGCGGCGGGAGTGCCGCTGTGCTCCCAGTGCCGCACTCTCCCGAGTGCGCCACGGGCTCGGCCCCCAACTGTTTTTCTTAATGGAGGTATAAAAACCACAAATATGATGGAGCCCAAGGAAAATGATTTTGTTGCAGGTGTAATGAAGACATCAAAAATGGAATCACCAACCTGCTTATGTACGTGAAGAGCATGAAGGGTCTCGCAGGGATCCGGGATGCCATGTGGGAGTTACTTAACAACGAGTCCACCAGTCACAGCTGGGATGTGGTATGTCAGCGGCTCCTGGAGAAGCCACTCTTGTTCTGGGAAGACATGATGCAGCAGCTGTTCCTTGACCGATTACAGGTGAGGTTTAAGATCACATGGTCTCCCTGTTTCACGGCCAGTCCTAGTGTGGTGCTTTGCCCATCTTGGGAGACTCCTGTCACTTTCTAAGTATATTTTTTCCCTGCTTACCAGCAGAGATCTAGATTCTAAAGCTGAAAAAGGCACCAGGCCTCTGTCAGTTGGTTGGGAACATGCCCGTGTCCATCAGTAACGGCATCTTTGTTTTCTACCAACACCATGTCACGTTTCTGAACATGGTAAAAAGCGTTCTGAATGCTAGGATAAATTGCCATTAGGTACTGTTTTGAGATTTCTTTAAAAGGAATTGTGATTAGAACTCTCCTCTCATTCTCTTTTAGACTCTGACAAAAGAAGGCTTTGACTCCATCTCCACTAGCTCCAAAGAGCTCCTGGTTTCAGCTTTGCAGGAACTTGAAAGCAGCACCAGCAACTCCACTTCTAATAAGCACATCCACTTTGAGCAGAACATGTCTCTTTTCCTCTGGTCCGAGAGTCCTAATGACCTGCCTTCTGATGCTGCCTGGGTCAACGTGGCAAACCGGGATCAGTTTGCCAGTAGTGGCCTCTCCATGAAAGCTCAAGCTGTTAGCCCTTATGTGCGGACTTTCTGTTCTGCCCTGGATTCTAAACTGAAAGTTAAACTGGATGACCTCCTGGCTTACCTTCCCACTGGTGACTCATCACGGCCCAAGGACATTTCCCCCATGCAGGCCAAGAACTCTGCCTTTGACCGGTACACAGATGCTGGAACAGTGCAGGAAATGCTGCAGACTCAGTCCATGGCGTGCATCAGGCACATTGTGGACTGCATACAGGTGGAGCTGCACAGCATCGAAGGAGTGGTGCAAGGACAACAGGATGTTCTCAGCAGTGTCAAGATGCACTCGGTCCTTTTCATGGCCAGGCTCTGCCAGTCCCTGGGAGAACTGTGCCCCCATCTGAAGCAGTGTATCATGGGCAAAGCAGGAAGCTCTGAAAAACCAGCCAGGGATTCTACGGTTCTGAAAAAACAGGAAAAGGGGAAAACGCAAGACATCATTCCTACACAGGCCAAGTGGCAGGAAGTAAAGGAAGTGCTCCTGCAGCAAAGTGTGATGGGCCAGCCAGGGATTCTACGGTTCTGAAAAAACAGGAAAAGGGGAAAACGCAAGACATCCTTCCTACACAGGCCAAGTGGCAGGAAGTAAAGGAAGTGCTCCTGCAGCAAAGTGTGATGGGCTACCAGGTTTGGAGCGCGGCAGTTGTGAAAGTGAGTGACTTAACTTATTGTCCCCATTTTGTCTCATGTTTATCGTACTCCAGTTTTTCCAGCCTCAGAAAGGTCCTTCAGTAGTAAGGGAATAACAGATCTTATTTCATACAGTTACTTTCACTTTATCTCTGCTAGACAGCTCAAACGTAAAAACTTTTCCATTCATTTTTAACCTAGATGTTATAGACAGAAAACCTGCATTTTTTCTTTCCATCAGATGAGAATGAAAGACTCTCTGCCTGGACAAGGGCCTACATTTCCTGATTTTCAGCCTAAATACCATATTCCCTGTAGTCTCCACTGGTCTCTAAAGAGATGGTATTTGACATTTGTAGAGTAGTTAGCAACAAAATTCCCATTGCTGATATCAATAAGTAGCTAAAACAGGGTGACGTTGCCACTCACCACCCCACACACGACCTAAGCAGTTTTAGCTGTTCTCAAGATTATGCTGGTAGTTTTAAACTCTGCAAAGGATATGAATGACTTATGCAGATATTTGCTTTTTATTATCAGGTTTTGATTCATGGATTCACCCAGTCATTACTTTTAGATGATGCTGGCTCAGTCCTGGCCATGGCCACCAACTGGGATGAACTAGAAATTCAGGAGGAGACAGAGTCTGGCAGCAGCATCACATCCAAGATCCAACTCCCTATACAGGTAAACAAGTCCCATTGTTACAGGGACCATGGCCTGAAAAGGGAAAAAACTGCTCCATGGAAAGGAAAAAGATTTTAGAAAATCATTCTACATACAACCTCTGAGGAATAGCTGAGATTATTATCTGTAGCTTTCTATTGGGGCATAGTGATATAGGGCCAGATAAATAGCAAGCTGTTTGAGAAGTCAGGGATTATTTCCTTTTGTAGCATGGGTGCTGTGCTAATTAGAGAACCACTTACCCTAAAGTGAAAACAGCAGCTTAAAACAGTGCCACCTACCAGGTCAACCTCAGACCACAAGGGGATGGCAGCACATTGCATTATAACAAGGGGCTTTGTATCTGTTCAGTGGTCTTCCTGGAAGAGGGCTTGATTGGAGAAGTCAAGGTTCTGGTATAGGCCTTGTAAGGATAAACGGAGTTCCTTTTACTGTGTGTCATTTAATTGGTGCAAGCTGGTAATGCGACATTCCTCTGTTCTTTAGCCATCCTGGTATGTACAGTCCTTCCTGTTTAGCTTATGCCAGGAAATTAACCGGGTTGGAGGCCATGCCTTACCAAAGGTGACACTGCAGGAGATGCTGAAAAGCTGTGTGATTCAAGTAGTAGCTGCCTATGAGAAGCTTGCAGAAGAAAAACAGAATAAGGTAGGTGTTTGAATGTTTTCCCATTAAAAACGCACCAGTAAAATCCTTAGCTTTAAGGGACTGGCCAGTTAGCTCAGTTGGTTAGAGTGCGGTGTTGTAACACCAAGATCAAGGGTTTGGATCCCCTTACCAGCCAGCTGCCAAGAAAAAAAAAAAAAATCCTTAGCTTTAAAACAAACCAAAAAATTGGGCTTGGCAGTTCACATCAAGGATTCAATGTCAAGGATCACCCAGCCCAGTCATCAGTTTCTATAAAAATGCTCTTTCTAGAAGTGGCTTCCAGCTCTGCAAGTTTGATTACCGTTCTTAAGGGCCAAACAGGTCTTCATTTAGAAGGCAGTTCAGTGCGGGTGGAAAGGAAAAAACTTGAGAATAAAAATGTCGGGCCTCTGACCTCGCCACTGCCACTTGCTCACTGCAGGCTTTGGGCAAGTCGTTAGCCTTTTGGTTTCCTCAGGATCAAACGTGATCCCATAGATAAGCTGCGCAGCTGGTTTTTCACCTGTGCAGTGAAGACCCCCCCCCCCCCCCCCACACACCTCCAGGGGGATCGGGAGGAAGGTGGACCATTTGTAGAGCAGAGTGTGGCACTCAGAGGTGCTCACTTAAGGGGTGCTCGTCTCACGGCCCTCCACTGCCCCTCACTTCTGTGAAGAACTCTGCCCTTGGCATATGTTCCCATTTCATTAGTAACTTTTAAGATGGGACCAGTCCTGATTGTGGGAGGAATTCAGTTGTCTTCAGTTCCTAGCTTCCTCAAAATACCTCTCCTTCATGTAGGAAGCTTTTTTCCCTTTAAAATGATCACCTACAGCACCTGAGGCCTTTTTTTTTTTGTTAAGGACTGGGATTCTTCCCTACTGTTGTATTTTTGGTTCTGTTCAAGACCAAGTTTCTAAAGTAACCTGTTTTTTTCATTGTGAGATTAAACAAGCCATGAGTATAAAAAGCACCTGCTTCTGAGATACCAAGCTGTAGCTCAACCGAAACATGAAGCTGTTTATCATGCTTGTGTAACAAAGTCATCTTTCTTAACGGGTGGGGACTGGGGATTCGTTTGCAGAAAGAAGGTGCATTTCCGATAACCCAGAATCGGGCACTACAGCTACTTTATGATCTGCGTTATCTCAACATTGTTCTGACCACCAAGGGGGAAGAGACGAAGAGTAGCCGAAGCAAACCCGACTCCAGGTGTCGTATCTCTGTCCAGCTCTCCCAAGGCAGTCTCTTCCAAATGCAAATAGCCCCTTTGCTGGGAAGCCACTGCAGAGAAGAGTCAGCCTTACTATACATTCATTGTGTTTCAACAGTAAGTGCTCGTATTACCAGCAAGTTAGATAATGGCCACCTGGTGGATAAATCCCATGGTCAAGTGAAGTAGGTGGGATCTCATTCCTCTTTCTTCTGAGTCAGCCCAGCAACTGTTGGGTAGAATTTGAGCCCTTGCTGCTCTCCCTAAAAACAGAACATGGGGAAGGAATGGACTCCACTTAGACATCATGTCAGGTTGAAATTCCTTGAGGATTACTTAGGCACCATCATCAGTGACAAGTGTACTAAACCATTAAAGAGAATAAAATCCAGCTCCAGGATTTCTATAGCATTAACATATACGATTTTTATCCTTAAAATATATGGACAATGATTCTAATCTTCTCAGAATTGAGAAAGTGACAGACCACCTGGAAGCACTCATTGATCCATTTGACCTGGACGTTTTCACGCCACACCTCAACAGCAACCTAAACCACCTGGTGCAGCGGACTTCTGTAAGTCAGGTCTCAAGCATACTCAGTGTGAATAAGTGCCACAGGCTCAAATTACAAAATAAGCCTGCTCCAGCACTCAGTACCCCAGGATGCGGCATTGGGAAGGGGGTAAGACACAAATAGCTAAGTGTAGTTTTAAGGGCTGAAAGAGGATTTGATGGAAATTTCACATGCTGATGCAACCATGATCTGAACCATTTTGTTGTAGATAAGGATTATTGTTTTAGCCAGTCCTAAAAGAACTATGTGACTATGAGATTCTGACTCGTGTTGATAAAAAGTAATTTGGAAGCATTAACACACTCAAAAGAACATTCCCCAAAATGATGGTTAGAAATAGTGATTGATTACTAACAGAGCAGTGACTTTCACCTGAACAATAAAACACCAGCATTTTATTGTGCACCATTTCTTGTCTGCCAGGTTCTGTTTGGACTGGTGACTGGTACAGATAATCAGTCCACCCCCCGAAGCAGTACATTCAACTCCCAAGAACCCCATAACATACTGCCACTGGCATCAAGTCAGATAAGGTAAATGATTCCAAGGCTTCCGCTGGGCCCCGAAGCTGCCTGTTCATGCTACTGAAATTCTCTCCTCTTGTCTTGGAGGTTTGGACTTCTTCCACTGAGCATGACAAGCACTCGAAAGGCTAAACCAACCAGCAGAAGCATCGAAACAAAAGCCCAGGTCAGTGCCAACAGCAAGAGGTTCATCCCTGTTGATCCTGTCCCCGTCTCCCACCAAGCCACCCAGTCAGCTCCCTTTTAGGTAACCGATAAAGAACTGAATGACAGAGTGCACTAATGCTGCTTTTAATGGCGACGCGATAGAGAAGTACAAGGGTTCACTAGCTTGAGCTAACGTAGGTTTTAAAAGATGTCCACTGACCCTACCAAGTAGCCTTATAACAGAAATGCATTTCAGGCTGCCAGAGCTGTAGAGAATATGCAGGACAGGATGGAGATTATTTCTTGTAATATAGTAGGGTAAAGAGTTAACTGCCAGCCCAGCACTATGATTGTACTTATTTGGAGAAAAATTTGTTTTGGTGGTGGTTTCATCTTCCATCATCTTTTAATTGGGTGGGAAAGAAATAAAAAAAAATTTGCTTCTTCAAGTTTTACATTTTCTTGTTAATACATGTTTTGTTTCAGTAGGATGCCATCCATTAAGCCTGCAGGAGTCCTGGGTATTTCCAAATTGTGTCATGTGTGTTTGAGACTCATACAGCTTGTCTTCTTACAGTATTTGGTTGTTGTTTGCTTTATTGTTAGATAAAATATCAGCGATGTATCCTTTCTATATTTCCTGCCACCAAACCCATTAAGATCCAAAATCCTTGTCAAACATCTGGTTTTATAATTTGGGAGAGATGACAGTAGGAAGAAAAAAGCTTTCGCAAAAACCACGTGCTGTGTAAGCATGGGCCTGTGCTGTAACTTTCTCCCATAACACTACATTTCCATTTCAAGTAACCGGCCTTTAAATTCTATCCATATAGAGGAATAGACCATGGAAAAGAAGTACATATGTTTACCCTTTTCCTAGAACAGTCCTCATTTTCAAATTTTAGTTCTGTCACATAATAAAATCTTATGCTGTTCCTATGTCCTTTTCAAATCTTGACAAACAGCAAAGTCCTCTTAACTAGAGCTCTCCGTGCTTCTCAGATCTGCTTGTGTGTGCTGTGCGGACTCGGAGTGGAGTGGAGGGTGAGCAGGCAGGAGGATTTGGGTAGACTCTAAGGCACTTTCCTCTACATCCCTGGCAGGTTGTCAACCCGGCATTCTCCAGAGCAGGCGACCCGATGCATCCTGGCTCCTTGTTCAGACACCTCGTCAGTGAGGAAGACGACACATCTGTGCCTTCATTATTCAAACTTGGCTGGCTCTCTAGTATGACTAAATAACATGGGAACATATCCATCTTTCTCTAAATAAATACTACCACATTATTTCTTCTAAGGTGCCTCTGCTCATTTGTTTCTAAGCCACACCAGTCTTTCCAGTTTCAGTGATGGAATATGGTCCTCTAGTTACCGTTAGGGGTTACTTTAAGCATGAAGTTTAAGCTACCTTGTCCAATAGTTTCACGATACTTGTTACTTTAGACATCAGCGTTCATTACACCTTAATTATTGACACTATAAGGTGGAATTATCAATGAGTTCACGTAAGCTACTATTATAACAAGTTTGTAAGACAAAGTCATTACATACTTTTTGGACTTTTGGAACTGTGCAGTTTTCTCTACTAAAGTCTGGGGTGCAGACTCTGGAGGAATATTGATACAGAAGTTATCTGGGTATGCAAGAGTCTGAAAGACAGTCTCCCTGGAAATACAAATATATAACAAAGAAAGAGACTGTTGTTAGGGAGGGTGCTTCACTTGCACAGTCTAAACTGGATCTGATCGCTCTCCTACAAAGGGGAGAGGACCTTTTAAGAACATCTACATACTAAGAGGTAGTATGGCAGTTAACTTCAGTGCAAGACTGAATCAAGCTTTCTATATTATGGAAAAAATCTTATGTTTTTCATGGAAACTAGATACTCTTTACTAGTTTATTGAATTTAAAAAATTGAAGATCCCGCATTTTTAAAAGGCCCTTTTACATAAAGTAAAATTTCTTATTGACAGATTTGGAAATCAGTCTGAATTGGACATACTATGGATTCAACACACAAATGAGATTTCCTCACACCACTACCTTAACATGGACTGGATACCCTCCCTCAAAAGAATCCTATAAAAAATTGCTTCAAAGCCCCTTTGAAATTGCAATAGTGCAGCAAAACCACAAGTAAACAATCGCCTGTTAACCTGTTATTTCAAATATAGACTGAGAAGCCAACAGGCATTTTTTTTGTGCAATTCTTTAAAACAAACAGTAAGTTGAAATATCAAATCTGCACAGCACTGTCCCTTCATAGAAGGCAAGAAACTGCAGGCGCATCATGTGGGAGGCCGTCCTCGGTGCTGTAGGCTATGGAAATGGGCCTCCTTCAGGGTCTGGTTGATGTGGAAGTAAGGGCCTTGGCACAGTGCAGACTGCTCGGGCATGGGCTGAGGGGTGTTAGGGCTGGATCCAGCGATGATGTGGCTTAAGCAGCTTTCCGGCCCACTGGCCCTGTCTGGGCTGTTGATGCTGCTGCTGCTGCTGCTGCTGCTGCTGCTCCCTCCACTGTCACTGCTTGAAGACTAAGGAAAAAGAAACAGTCACGATCAGGCTGTTTTGTTTCTTGAGCACTTTACTGTGGTTTAATATACAATACTCTATATAGAGTATTTTTCCTACTCAGCTTGAGGAGGAAAATATATACTGACTGGCCTTTACAGTTTACAAGGTGCATTCACCTAAACCTTTGATTCTATCTTCATAACTATCCTGTCAGGATGAGTAGGGTTTATCATCCCCATTATATAGCCCTAAGTAGGAGGTGCTTGGGTCTGGATTCAAGCACAGGCCTTCCAACTCCAAATCCCTTCAACTGCATCTTAATTCCTTTATATACCTTCTCTACCTGCTTTTAACATTCATTCCAATAATTTCCAATAATCAAAAAACGAAGTTCTCAGCCTCCGAGGAAAAGTAGTAATCACTGGTGCAGGGTATGAAAAAGGTGTCCCCATAACAAATAAGATGGCTTCTGGGCACAAGTTAAGGTAAAAACTAAAAACCTATGCCAATTTTGTGATCATCACGTCATCACAGACATGAAATGATATTCTGTAACTGCAGGACACATACCCTGAAAGGACTTTAATATACTTTTTATGAAGTTATCTTTTGTTGGCATTCTTGCAGTTCAATATGCATATGTGTGCAGGTGTATACACGAGCATGCCTAATTTTATCTTTAACTAATATGACTTGTTGTTTTAATCATCTTGAAAAAGCTAGTCTCTGGTAAGACTCACTCAGAAATTCCTGCCTTCTGACGCTAGGATTCTCAAAAGGGAAGGTAATGCTAAGGATCCATTTCAGAATTATTAAAATTAATACAGCATTTCTATCCACTTTTTTCTTTTAGGTTTCTAAAAAACATATTGCATTTCTAATAAATGACAACCCAATAACTTGATTAACAGTACTTTTTTCTATTCACAACTCAACACAATATTATACTGGAAGGAGTCAATGCATAAGAAAGTTAAAACTCTAGTAATTAATGATCTGGTGTATAATTTTTCTTTTTTTTTTTTTTTAAAAGATGACCGGTGGGCCGGCCCGGTGGCGCACTGGATAAGTGCCCCGCTTGGGAAGCGCGGCGGCGCTCCCG